ATCCGAGTATCTCCCTGCGTAGGAGCGGAGGGCTATAGTTCTAGAGCTACTCCGAGATCAACTATCATATCTGGGTCAAAGCCGTGATCGCAGAGCACAAACTAAAAACATTTGTTCGTTTACCACCTTACCTGTGTTTTCTGTACGAAATTGTGGTCGAAACAGTCGGTGTCACAGTGAGTCACAAGGTCCAGATCATACCATACAACACAATGCTAACAACCAGCTATAGTACCAAGCAATCGTCATACATTGAAAGTGATTACTTCACCGTAAACAATAAACGTAAACAAATTATGATCACTTTTTCACAACATGTAAGTGATTCTGTTCACTTTTTTAGCTCATCTGACATAGTCAGATGCAGCTTGTAGAATCGCATGATCGTCCTGTCCGCCGCCGTACGTGCGAGCGTCCGTTCGTCGTGTGTCGCGTCAACAGTGGCACAAATCTAAAACGGCTCCGAAGTAACGGTCAACGATATTCGGGACGTGGGAGGGTAATCCGAAACGAGTTGGATGTTCGAAGCTGGGGTCAAAGTCAAAGGTCAAGAGTGTAAAAGAAGTGGGAAGCATTTCCTCGCTATAACTTAAAGGTATAGGAGGAAATGCAGAATTGCGGCACAAATCTAAACGGCTCGACGCTAAGGCTCGTTGATACGTCGGTGTAATAGCATCATGGTTAGATAAGCATCATCTGTGCCGAAATTGAGGTCACAGGTCAAAGGGCAATTGGCGCACAGGGCAGATTTTAAGACATTTTCTGAGGACATGGTCTGACGGAGCGATTGAAAAACTTTTGTTTCAAAGGGCGTGACCTAGCTATTTTATGACTTTATTGAAAGGACCAGTGAATGTCCTTCTGGCTACGTAAAGTGTAATGTCGGATAACCTTTTGACCCTGCAAGAGGAGGGTTAAAAGCATGGATTTGTTTACTGTCTGTTAGAAAGAAATTTGACTGCCGGGTTTTGCTAGTAGAATACTATAACATGCCTTGATGTATTGAGGCTACAATGTCAGCAGTTAAATTCAAACTAATTTGGTTGTGAAGAAGGTTATATGCTCCTTAAATCCTATAATTTCATATGGCATTCTCGTACTGTCAGTATTTTCAGCATGTAACGTATGCGCACTGCTAGTGGCCACTGCCAGTGGCGCACTGGCAGTGCATGTTGGGTGGCTGTGTAGTTTTTGCCATTGCGTTAATTAGTTACAGTGGCAGCTCTCTATTGGCAGCCTGTAGGCTTGCGTAGGTAAATGGAGATGAAGTGCTTACCTATTCTGTCTTGCTGAACCATAGTTGTTTGCTACTACATATCGAGGGAGCTTCCATCTTTAATCTGAAGACACTTAAACGTACGCGCCATCTCGTGGCAACTTTCATAACGATCCCAACAAACATTCCTTTGAGAAGGTTCCTGATATCATCCCTGTGCATTCCACTGTTTCGGCGTGTATGTGAACACATTTGGGACTAACAGGGTTTACTAGAATCCCACCACTCCACCATAGAGTCACCGCATTAGACGTTAGATGAGCGCTGTCGCTCCGCGGCACTTGTTTAAAAGGTAGGTCGGTAGGTAAAAAAACCTTTTTTTACTTAAAAATTTATTTTAAAGTCTATAACACCAAAACTATCATTTAATGTGTTTATTTTCTAGAACTTTAAACCCCGATACATATTTTGATGGAAAAATGATAGAAAAATATTGTTTAGGAAGACTAATTTCTATTTCTCGACTTTATTTATGATCTTGGTCTAAAATAAATCAATTTAATATTCTTTTTACAACAATGCTAATAAATTTGAGTTGGCACTTTTTTGGAAGGGTCTGCTGGACTCGACTCTAACTGTGAACGAAGCTGTCCATTTCCCTGTGCATTTCTTCAATTCCTTTAATACCGCAGGCTTACCACCACACAAACTTACTCTTAAACCTGGTTCCCCCATCATTGTCCTCAGATCTTTAGACCCACCCAACATCACCAGTGGAACATGTTGTCGAGTCACAGCCTGCCATATGCCAACGCCATAGACGTTGTCATCCTACATGGACCAGCTGCCAGCAACTGGCAAAACCGTATTCATACCACGCATACCACTCATCTCTTCAACATCAGATCTTCCATTTCAATTTAAAAGACTGCAATTTCCTATCCGTCTTTGCTATGCTATGACAATAAACAAAGCCCAAGGACAGACTTTCACTACCATAGGCTTGCACCTGACCACACCTGTCTTCTCCCATGGCATGCTCTATGTTGCCCTCTCACGAGTAGGCAAACCCACGGCGATGTTCATTCACACACAGCACACGAAGACCAAAAACATACTTTACAAAGAAGCCCTTGATCCTTCGTTGAGCTACAACACTAGGTACTTTGCTAGTACTATATAACTTCCAAGTAAGATGGTACCCTCCTAGCTGTAATTGAGACAACTCAATTAGTCAGTCAGTTGAGCATGCACGGGTTATCAGTTGCTTTGATTCATTTTTATGTGGGATATTATTTTTCTTATTCTTCTGGGATTAACTTGAGGCAGCTGTGAGATTAAATCCATACAGCTCCCAATGTCTCTACAGTTGTGCAATACATATATATATATGACTGTTTTTGGAGCTACGACCGACCCTATACCGATTAGATACATCTATGTCACAAAGGTAGTAATCTCAGAGTATTATCATCATACAAGATCATTACTACTGACATATCTTACGCTAAACATATTATTAATAGCTTGGGTTAACTGAAGCAAGTCAGACTAAAGTTCCTTGCTAAATGGCCAATCTGAACATGTACTGCACTCTCAGTGCCAAGGACAGGATTCAATGCTGAGACTCTGTAGCTGAAAGTTTTGAGTGCGGAGACTATGCTAATTACATTACTTGTCTCCCTTTATCCGTAGTTCGAGAAACCTGGAAGTCGAGATGAATTTGATTACCCAGATATGGCTAAGGAGGCTGGTAAGAATTTACCCTGTTAGTATTTAACATTGATTATTGTGTGCCAGCTTACACACAGCCAAATGTTGTTGTAATTATTGAGTTGAGCTTTCTCCCCTTCACTCTCCTATCTACCTTCCTTCCTCCCTATCACTTTCCTTACTTCTTTCTATCCCTTGCTACCTCTCTTCGACCAGAATCCCAATTTTTCAGTTCCGACTCTGGCTGGAGCAGTATATAAACAAATACTCGGAAACAAAACTTTTTTCTTAATTTTATTCCTGTTAGTAGAAACATTTTACTGGCAGGCAATTATAATTTTAGCTTTGTGCCTCATACCTCATTTTGCTCGTGTTCCCATTAATATTTCATCGTGAGAATTTCTATTGCACTGAAAGTAGGTGGTTCATACACCCAACAATCATCTTGTAAATAGAATGTTAAGCCTTACTCTACTCGTCTGGGGGACATGCCTGCTAATGTTATTTCAATTTAGTAATTTTGCATGATATGGTGCCAAAACTGTTATGTTTATTTCCAGCAAAAGTTCCGGTTTCATTCAAAATTGAGATCTGTGGCACCCCTTGGTATATACAGTATCACATTCACTCAAATGGAGTGGCTGTAATGCATATAAACTATTAAGAATTATGATTACCTCCGCCCAACGGAGTTGGAGGAGGTTATGTGATCGCTCTTGTGTGTTAGTGTGTTAGTCCGTTCGTGTGTTAGTGGGCTCGCACGATCGATATTAGCGCGTCGAGTCAGCAGCATGCAGGCCAGTCAGTCAGCAGCAGCCAGCAGCGAGCGGCGAGCCAGCTCGTAACACATACATGTTACATGCTGGCAGAGGTATGCACTCTCCGTGAGTGCCCTCTGTCTAGTATTTATAGTGTAATCAATTTATATGTAATTTTGTTTTATTTTCTCTGACCTGCAGTGAATAATGCACTCAAAGATGCTAAAATCAACTATGGAGAAATTCAGCAGGCATGTGTTGGATATTGTTATGGTAAGAATGATGTAAAATTTATTGTGATCTCAAGTTTGTTCTATAGTTTATACCAATATTGAATATCATGTATTGTGTTCAAAATTTAATATGTGAAGTTCTAACCAAAGATAACATGTTTGACCTTTTAAAAAGATTTTCTTGAAATAGAGAATCTGGTCAACTAAGGTGTAATGAGACCAGTAATTTTAAAAGTAGTTAATCATAATTTTTCTTTGCTTTCTAAATAGAAGATAACCAGAATTTAACTATTAGGTGCCCCTATCTCGAACCCTGCAATTGTTGCTTTTTAAAATTAAATGGAGAGTCGAAATGTGGAAACTACATTTCTTTTTAATTATGGGTCATTTACGTGGGAACATTCGTAGTTTCCTATATATTTTCGCTACTCCTGTAGGTGACACAACTTGTGGTCAGAGAGCTCTTTACGAAGTCGGCATGACAGGAATTCCTATTTTCAATGTGAGTTGCCTATCTGCTGCAATAAAGATTTATAAACTGTATGTGGTCTAAGCGATGAAACAGAAGTTTTAGGTCAAGTCACAGATGTACATTTTGTTATATTCTTAGGAACACACTGATTCGAGTCAGTTGAGCATGCACGGGTTATCAGTTGCTTTGATTCATTTTTATGTGGGATATTATTTTTCTTATTCTTCTGGGATTAACTTGAGGCAGCTGTGAGATTAAATCCATACAGCTCCCAATGTCTCTACAGTTGTGCAATACATATATATGACTGTTTTTGGAGCTACGACCGACCCTATACCGATTAGATACATCTATGTCACAAAGGTAGTAATCTCAGAGTATTATCATCATACAAGATCATTACTACTGACATATCTTACGCTAAACATATTATTAATAGCTTGGGTTAACTGAAGCAAGTCAGACTAAAGTTCCTTGCTAAATGGCCAATCTGAACATGTACTGCACTCTCAGTGCCAAGGACAGGATTCAAAGCTGAGACTCTGTAGCTGAAAGTTTTGAGTGCGGAGACTATGCTAATTACATTACTTGTCTCCCTTTATCCGTAGTTCGAGAAACCTGGAAGTCGAGATGAATTTGATTACCCAGATATGGCTAAGGAGGCTGGTAAGAATTTACCCTGTTAAGATTTAACATTGATTTTTGTGTGCCAGCTTACACACAGCCAAATGTTGTTGTAATTATTGAGTTGAGCTTTCTCCCCTTCACTCTCCTATCTACCTTCCTTCCTCCCTATCACTTTCCTTACTTCTTTCTATCCCTTGCTACCTCTCTTCGACCAGAATCCCAATTTTTCAGTTCCGACTCTGGCTGGAGCAGTATATAAACAAATACTTGGAAACGAAACTTTTTTCTTAATTTTATTCCTGTTAGTAGAAACGTCTTACTGGCAGGCAATTATAATTTTAGCTTTGTGCCTCATACCTCATTTTGCTCGTGTTCCCATTAATATTTCATCGTGAGAATTTCTATTGCACTGAAAGTAGGTGGTTCATACACCCAACAATCATCTTGTAAATAGAATGTTAAGCCTTACTCTACTCGTCTGGGGGACATGCCTGCTAATGTTATTTCAATTTAGTAATTTTGCATGATATGGTGCCAAAACTGTTATGTTTATTTCCAGCTAAAGTTCTGGTTCCATTCAAAATTGAGATCTGTGGCACCCCTTGGTATATACAGTATTACATTCACTCAAAAGGAGTGGCTGTTATGCATATAAACTATTAAGAATTATGATTACCTCCGCCCAACGGAGTTGGAGGAGGTTATGTGATCGCTCTTGTGTGTTAGTGTGTTAGTCCGTTCGTGTGTTAGTGGGCTCGCACGATCGATATTAGCGCGTCGAGTCAGCAGCATGCAGGCCAGTCAGTCAGCAGCAGCCAGCAGCGAGCGGCGAGCCAGCTCGTAACACATACATGTTACATGCTGGCAGAGGTATGCACTCTCCGTGAGTGCCATCTGTCTAGTATTTATAGTGTAATCAATTTATATGTAATTTTGTTTTATTTTCTCTGACCTGCAGTGAATAATGCACTCAAAGATGCTAAAATCAACTATGGAGAAATTCAGCAGGCATGTGTTGGATATTGTTATGGTAAGAATGATGTAAAATTTATTGTGATCTCAAGTTTGTTCTATAGTTTATACCAATATTGAATATCATGTATTGTGTTCAAAATTTAATATGTGAAGTTCTAACCAAAGATAACATGTTTGACCTTTTAAAAAGATTTTCTTGAAATAGAGAATCTGGTCAACTAAGGTGTAATGAGACCAGTAATTTTAAAAGTAGTTAATCATAATTTTTCTTTGCTTTCTAAATAGAAGATAACCAGAATTTAACTATTAGGTGCCCCTATCTCGAACCCTGCAATTGTTGCTTTTTAAAATTAAATGGAGAGTCGAAATGTGGAAACTACATTTCTTTTTAATTTATGGGTCATTTACGTGGGAACATTCGTAGTTTCCTATATATTTTTGCTACTCCTGTAGGTGACACAACTTGTGGTCAGAGAGCTCTTTACGAAGTCGGCATGACAGGAATTCCTATTTTCAATGTGAGTTGCCTATCAGCTGCAATAAAGATTTATAAACTGTATGTGGTCTAAGCGATGAAACATAAGTTTTAGGTCAAGTCACAGCTGTACATTTTGTTATATTCTTAGGAACACACTGATTCGTAAACCTATACTAATGGTATCATTGAAGAGATAAATTACTGTTATGTTTATGAATGTTATTGTTCTTTTGGCTCTAGGTAAATAATGCATGTTCAACTGGATCAACAGCTTTGTTTATGGCCAGACAATTAGTGGAAGGAGGTAATTATAAATGCTTAAGAGAAGGGTTTAATGCAAATGATTTAATATACGACATTGTTGATGAGATTTGAGTTTCAGTCTAACACAAGATTTTGCTGTTGTGGTGACATGTCATTGCCAATGTTAGTGACACATTACTTTTCACAAACATGGAACAAATTCATGTATGCACAGTACACTGGCTTGTTTAGGTTTGGCAGACTGCGTCTTGGCCTTGGGTTTTGAAAAGATGGAAAAGGGTTCACTGACTCCTAAGGTATATGTGATCTAGCTTACATTTGTACACATTATTAATCAGATTGTACCACTTAATCTAACACCAGAGTTTTACTAACTCTGCTAGAATTTTATAAATGCTTACCAGTGGAATATTACCTATTTTCAGTAATCACAAACATTTATGTACACAAACATGTTTTTGACAAAAATATCTTTTGGCAAAAATACGCATGATTTTTACAAGCGGCAAGTCAATTTGTAGCAAAGCAGGGAATATGTTTAGGAGGCCCCAGTAGCAAAAAGTGGCATGTTGTAAATATAGATTACATTCTCGCCTTTCACGTCGTATAACCCTGTTCTCGCCTTTACAACCTCCACGTTTTTGTTTAGTTTATGGACCGTACTAATCCAATGGAGAAGCACGTTGAAGTGATGGCAAGCGTGTTTGAATTGGAGTCGGCCCCTTTCACGGCACAGATGTTTGGAAATGCTGGGAAAGAGCACATGAAAAAATATGGTGAGAAGTAGGTCTCGGAGTCATTACGTTTAAATTAGTTACCATGCATGCTCTAACTGAAATAATCCAATACTCCTTAAGTAACAATTACTCAATAATCGAACTCCAGTGACTGGGCAGTGTCTACAATTATTACCCACTAACAAAGCAGGGGTGTTTAAAATCTAACGTCTAATTAGTCTCATACAAAGGAGGAAGGTTATTACAGAGCTTTGTAGCTGATCACATTGCGGTATTTTAATCTATTTCTAGGAACAAAACCAGAGCACTTTGCCAAAATCGCATGGAAAAATCACTTACATTCCATCAACAATCCGTAAGTCTTGTGGTGTTGCTGATTAATTATGTTACTGGTGTAGATCTGCAGTTGATGTTGCTCAATTTAAATGTATTTGGAAGCTCCTTTGGGGCATTGAATACATTGAAATATAATTTAGATTGATACAGAGTTGCATGTAAACATTGCTTGTACTGCATTTTGACTATTCCCTATAGAACCATCCTTCCCCTAAACCACCCTTTCACTTTTTCACACAGTTCCTCTGCGATAGATTTTCCCCCATCACTTTAATTGTTGTGTGCATTCTTTTCTCAAGTTTTTGATACTTGCTAACTTTTTGTAAATGTTTGCTATTGTTGTTGCGACATTGTTTTCCGGTTGTTCGCTCACTTTAACTTTGATTGTGGTTACAGTATTGGTGGTTCTATTGGTGGTTCTATGCAGGTACTCACAGTTCCAGGATCAGTACAGTATGGATCAGATTTTGAACTCGCCGATGGTTCACAAACCACTAACGAAGTTGCAGTGCTGGTGAGTGGGTACTCCTCGTTCCATTAATGACGATGTTAATGATGATGGTGGTAATGCTGCTGCTGCTGCTGCTGCTGCTGCTGATGATGATGATGACAATGACGATGATGATGATAATGATGATGGTAACGAAAACGGCGATGACGAAGATGGTGATCCAGAATATATCATGCTAGACACTGACCATATAGACTCATGAAACCTCTCACCCCTTATTTGGATCTTCCGTTACAGTCCGACGTCAGATGGGGCGGCTGCCGCAATTGTCTGCAGCGCGGCGTTTGTGGAGAAACATGGATTACAGGACCAGGCGATTGAAATCGTCGCACAGGAGATGGCGACAGATCTGCCGAGTACTTTCAACGAGGGCAGTTGCATGAAAGTGGTAGGTGACCAGCAGCAGTGTGGTGAAATACCTGCCAGCAGAGGCAAGTTAGGTGAACAGTAGTGAAATACCTACCATCAGATCGCAGCTACGTGAGGATTGTAGGGTATAGTAGCTTTGGTTTGTCGACAGAGACTGGTCGCGTTTCGGCAAAGCGCGTACAAGATGGCTGATGCGTCGTCGCTCTCGTTGTTTCAAGGTCGGCTACGACATGACGAAGACAGCAGCTGATCGGCTGTACCGCGGCGCCGGGGTGAAGCCAACAGACATCGACGTGGTAGAGCTGCACGACTGCTTCTCGACTAACGAGCTGATCAGCTACGAAGCACTGGGTCTGTGCGAACCAGGTGCGTTAGAGAGCAGGAGCCATGAGGAGCTGCTGTGTGGCGACATGTAAAGCAGTCATTGCACAATTGGCAGAATGTTTCAGTAGAAGGCGTAAATGATGTAGCTGTCACACACTGTTGTTTTGTCTAATCTGTGTAGGGAGATATTAATTGTGCTTAATAATGGGATTGAGATTATGTATAAAGTTGGTTCCTAGTCAAGCCTTTGTACAACACCGGTCTAAATGAAATGACACAAATATGACATAAGACAAAAGATGAAAAATATGACATAAATGATACATGGCTGTAAGAAAGCATCGTAAGACAAACCCTTTGGTATGTACATAGCTTTCAGTATTCTTGCATTTATGAAATGTGTGCTATATAATATGGTACATAAGTCATTACCAGGCCACTATTCCCATGAAATCTGACAGATGCATGTACACTGGGGGTTTCATCTCATATCATGTGCAGGGTGCAAAATTAACGGGAGTCTGGAGTCAAACACTCTGATTTACTGTCGGACTCCCTGATTTGACATATGCAGGAGTCCGTGTGACTCCCTGAAAATTCTGCCATACTAACTAGTTCGTTCCATCTCTACATACACTTTGCTCAAATGAGTGGAACACTGCAATGTCAACACACCACCATAAACGTATTGGCCAGCAAAGCCTCCATGTGTATCGTGTAGACCTTCAACTTGCCTTCTCATCCGCAATAGTTTTTTTCAGGTGAGGCGGGCAGTATGGTTGATAGAGGCGATAACACCTACGGTGGAAAGTACGTGATAAATCCAAGCGGTGGCCTGATTTCCAAAGGTCATCCCCTCGGCGCAACTGGTACGTAGAATCGCACGTCGCTATCGCACACAGCATTAACTCTCATTAGCTGGAACATGGGGCCTATGCAACTAAAACGCGTAGGATTGACGGAGGTTTCTAGTGTTGGACTGCATTGAGCCAGTAGTGTTTGTTACCTCCGCCCAACGGAGTTGGAGGAGGTTATGTGATCGCTCTTGCAGGGTTCAACATTAACTTTTTATTTCACTAGACCATCGGGCTAGTAACTGAGGAAAACCACTAGCCCTGACCTAACTTTCACGAGCCCAGACCCAGACCATTGTTATGAAAAACTTTATTTAGATAAGAGTGTGTCATCGTATGAATTCATAGATGCTGTTTCCCGCGCTTTAAATCGCGCGTGGGCCGAGTTCACGTGCAGCATTCGTATTCTACTAAAGCTTTGATTCTACCACGGGCATACACGAGCGCACGGTTTATCGATTGTCTACTGCAGCTGGCAGCAAGCCACGTTCATAGTCGTTATTGTTTTTGCCGAAAGGTAGACTGGTATCCGGCCTCACGCTCTGCTAGACAATGTACACGCTCTGCGACAAACAGTGCGGCCGCGAACCAGTCTAGCCAGAGGTGACCTTTCAGTGCAATATATATATATGACCAATTCTAACACGACCAGTTGGGCTACTAGCACTCTGGTTGTTATGCCGACCGGTACCAAGCATTTAGCCCGACTAGGTCAGGTCGGACGGTCGGGTTAGTGTCGAACCCTGTCTTGGTGCTGTTCGCGCGATCCGATATTAGCGCGTCGACGTCAGCGAGCCAGCCAGCCAGCCATGTATCTGCCATGTATGTATCTATCATACATATAGTACCATACATGTATGTATGTATGTATGTATGTATGTATGTATGTATGTATGTATGTATGTATGTATGTATGTATGTATCTGCCATGTATGTTATGGCGTATGTTGCTGGCGGAGGTATGCATTCTTCGTGAGTGCCCTCCGTCTAGTTATCTCTGTTTTCGGACAGAATTAGGTATGGTGAGGGTCGTTTCTGTGTTGATGGCCGACGTCTAGGATTTCAAGATATCTGATGAGTGTACTTGATTGAACTTTTGCACTTTCACATTGAGCTTTGTACTTAATAACATGATGATTGGCTTACTTAACATCAGGAGATAAATAATTAGCACACACGCACGAACGCACGCACGCACGCACACACTCACACACTTGCACGCACGCATACAAATATCAACACAGACCCACGTTCATGTCATTTTGCAAATAGTTTTATTTTGTAAAAAAAAATACTGTGCATTTCGATTGTCAGTTGTGAAGTGTGTCAAAAATCCACCCGATTTTGAATAAATACGTGAACACGATAACTTTTAAGATCCCAGAAAACTGCTATAGGCTGAAAATGTTATTCATAATTATGAAAAACATTTTCAGTAGCTGCTGGTGGTTAGTGAATTCAACCTGGCGCCTGCCACTTGGTTGTTATAATATTATTACAGAAATCTAACAGTATGGTCAATCTCCACCGGAACATGATTACTTGCTGCTAAGCACCACAATGTCGATAGTACCACAGTTAGAAATAGTGCAGAACATGTATTTCTTGTGTACCATATTATTTTCTTACATAGGGTATTAATTAAGTGGTAGCATTAGCTGTAGGGTTTACGGTATTATAATGTTTATAATACCTCTATGGCTAAAGCAATTGTGAATTTCCTGTGTGATGCAATGAAGTCTCCTCTACATGATAATGGCACTAAAGATACTACGTAGCTGTTAGGAATCTGCTCAACGCTAGTCTGCAGATTTCAGCCTATAAGCATATATTCCAGGATCTAAAAAGTCGTATTGCATTTCCTTCCTCTCAATGACGGATCCATCGAGTGGACATTCACCTCTACAGGTCCTAAACGATCAAAAGGTCAAACCTCAAGGTCAAAAGCCTCTGCCAGTGCTGAGCGCTGGGAGTTACGTGACCTACTTGCCTGGCGTGATTGACAGGCAGCTCTAGCCAATCATCGTCGCGATTGGCAATTATAAAAACATTACCTAGGGACGAAGTGCCGAAACGTCGATTGGCAATTATAAAAACAGTACCTAAGTACAGATATAGTAATATAATTACAGGCCAGTATAAAAACAGTAACGAAGTGCTGCAACATCGAGATTAAAAAAAAATAGAAAAACGACTAGCACGTGCACACACGCGCTGCGGGAGCTCGGCCACCCTAGCAACAAGATAGGTAGTTACGCCTCGCTCATGCGGACCGGTCGATCCCCCAGCGACGCCGCCCGCCGTCTCGTCCTGTGGCCCTTCTTCGAGTACGTGAACACCTCGAAGGTGGGAGCGAAGTTCATGTGTCCGTCCTGCTCGCCGACGTAGGTCTCGCAGCGCGCGTCATCGACCCACCACCGCGTCAGATCCTCATAGATCTTCGCCGGCTCGCCGTCGTCGTTCAGCTTCTCGCAGAGCCGGCACCACGGCGCCGGCTTCTGCTCGCCGACGACGTAGCGCCGCTTCCAGTCGAAGTACGCGTTGTAGAGCGTCTCGTTTGCCGCGACGGCGAGGAGGTGGTCGGCGAGCGCCTTCACCGAGTCGAAGTCGCGCGCGTCGATGTAGGACCCCGGCGGCGCGTGTCGTGCGTAGTCGACGCCGCCGAGCGTGACGGGCACGACGTCGTGCGTCAGTCCGCGGTAGAGCTTCTCGGTGACGTAGTCGCGGCAGAGGCCGTTCTCGAAGGCGAGGTAGAAGCGGTAGTCGTCGTCGAGCATCGCGTCCCAGTCGCAGTCGTCGCAGCGCGTCTGATTGCAGCGGCCCTCCGCGCGACCGTACGTGTCGACGTCCACGTATTGCCGCAGCTCGGCGACGACCTCCTCGCGGCGGCTCTTCGTCGGGCAGCGCGTCGCGAACCACGCCGCGAACTTGCTCTTGCGGCGCGCGACGTCCGTGTCGTAGTCGACGGCGGCGGCGCGGCGCCGGAACGCGCCGTACGCGGTCGGCACGTCCGAGTCGAGCCGGTACGTCATCGTCCAGTTGAACGCGCCGTCGAATCCGCGCAGCGAGCGCACCTTGAGGTAGGTGTGCGAGGCGGGCTCGCGCAGGTAGAAGACCCAGCGCTGGCGCGGCGAGTAGTACGCGGGCAGGCTGTGCCGCTGCACGTTGAAGAAGTTCATGACGACGGCGTCGGCGCGCTTGATGAGCGAGTGGTCGCGCGTCGCCGCGCAGTTGCTGACGCGGCAGCCGGCGAAGGGCGCCGCGCCGTAGCGCGGGAACCACTCCTGCCCGGAGATCTGCGTCCACAGCAGCACCAGCTTCGGCGGGCCAGCGGCGGCGCCTTCTGGCGGCGAAGCAGTCTCGTTGGTTGCGAAGAGGCGGAGCGTCGCGTTGCCGTGGCGACAGGTGTGGTTGTCATGGCGATTCTTCCACCACGGTTGACTGGCCGGCGTGTCAATGTGGACCCTGCTGCTGCCGGCGTTGCTCCAATGCATGCCAACCTCGAGGATGGCGACGGCGAATACGAATAGAGCTGACGCGATCGCCCCATCCGTCGCCGTGAATCTGTTGAACGCCCGCTTGCTGGTTTCCATGGTGATCGGCTGTCATGCCTGACGATGGAGTCGGCAGCGTCCGCGTGCTCACGCGGTCGTCAGTTGGTGTCGCATGTATCTGTAAATATAGCACAGTCCGGTGTTTGCCCATAGGTGTAAAAACTCGTGTCGGAAAGCCACTGTTACACTCGCGCGTGTATACTGACGCACATGTGCACGTACACGCACGCGCTTCTGTGCACGCACACACGCTCGCACAGCGTTCACGCACATTCTGTGCACGTACACACGCTCGCACGCGTTCACGCACATTCTGTGCACGCACACACGCTCGCATAGCGTTCACGCACATTCTGTGCACGCACACACGCTCGCATAGCGTTCACGCACATTCTGTGCACGTACACACAGGCTGCATAGACGTTTCACGCACACCCGCTTCGCTCGCATAGACGTACATGTAAATTTCTTGCCATGCGTACACACGCACGCACGCTTTTGTTCACGCAATTCTCGGTGCACGTACACACGCTCGCATATCATTCGATGTAAATTTCTGTTTTCATGGTACACACGCTGCGACGCACGCTTCCTGTTTCACGCACATTCTGTGCCACGTACACCACGCTCGCATAGCGTTCACGCACATTCTGTGCAGTTACACACGCTTCAGCATAGCGTTTCACGCACGATTCTGTGCACGATAACCCGCTCGCATGCGTTCACGCCACATTACTGTGCACGGTACACACGACTCGCATAAGCGTTCACGCACATTGCTGCTGCACGTACACGCCTTCGCATTGCGTTCAGCCACATTCTGTGCTACACCACGCTCGCATTAGCGTTTCACGCACATTCTGGGCACATAACACCGCTCGCTAGTGTTCATGTAAATTCGGTGCCATGACACACGCACACACGCTCGATAGAGTAATGTAAATTCTGTGCACGTACACACGCTCGCATAGCGTTCACGCACATTCTGTGCACGTACACACGCTCGCATAGCGTTCACGCACATTCTGTGCACGTACACACGCTCGCATAGCGTTCATGTAAATTCTGTGCATGTACACACGCACACACGCTCGCATAGCGTACATGTAAATTCTGTGCACGTACACACGCTCGCATAGCGTACACGCACATTCTGTGCATGTACACACGCTCGCACGCGTTCACGCACATTCTGTGCACGCACACACGCTCGCATGGCGTTCATGTAAATTCTGTGCATGTACACACGCACGCACGCACGCTTCTGTTCACGCACATTCTGTGCATGTACACACGCTCGCATGCGTTCACGCACATTCTGTGCACGCACACACGCTCGCATAGCGTTCATGTAAATTCTGTGCACGTACACACGCTCGCATAGCGTTCACGCACATTCTGTGCACGCACACACGCTCGCATAGCGTTCACGCACATTCTGTGCATGTACACACGTAGTACTGTGCACACGTAGACAGATTGCTAGTGTTATATATGAGGTTTGTTTTGGGGATCAGAAATAAGGGGAATATAGAATGCCAAGTAAAAAAATGTATATTTGAATACTTGTGAAGTTAGGCTGGTGAAGCGTAAGCAGCATGCCAGTATATATATAGATAGTAGAAAAGTATATAGATATAGTAGAAAAGTATATAGATATAGTAGAACAGTAGATATCACTAGCCTTTCAATGGTAGGTACTAACAACTATAGCTTAATTAGGCAGTCCATGTTGGGCTGGTTGTATTAGGGACACGCGCTTTAATTTGACTATCATTTATTATCTCGGATTCAATGACTTAGAGATGATTCTCGGATTCGATAATTCTCCGAAGATTCTCGGATTGATCATGATTCGAGACTGATGTAATAAATGGAGCATGTACGTGTATGCAGGCAGAAATTTCCACTTGCGGCTTACTTTCAACATTTTGCGTCATAAATACCGGTGGTTGTTATGTAGTGCCCACCCTATATAAATGACTTTATAACGTGACCATATTATGGAAATTATATAATATAAGAACAATAACAAAACAAACTATAACATAAAGGAATCTATTTAGATATGCTAATTAGGCCCGCTCGCGGGCAACTTCGCGGTATGTTTATGTTCTAACGTCTGATATATGTTTTTCGCGTCGGTGCATGATTGTCATCATGCCAAAGAAGCTGAGGTATATTTATAGAATTAGTAAACTAGAGTTATGTAAGGTATATACCTATATCTCTGACAGCCTTGATTGATGATTTACTCCATCTTCTCGCAGGCATCCTACGTGGCATTTTATTGTTCAGTTCCTGTGGGCACGGAAATGGGTACGCACGTCTCACGCGAGTTTGCGTGGGAATGCCACTCGTTGAACTGGTTTGGCAGGTGGGCATGCAGTGAGCTATAACGCTTAACGCTCTGCTGCCCAACTCTTTGTATCAATAGCTGGGTGCATGTAAGGATGTATATAATGTATACTAGTATGCAGTACATAGCATATAGTATATAGTATAGGATTACTATGCTTTTTGCGTACGCGCAGACTGTTGATGGATTTGTTATGGTTTATTGTGTGATCGTGCTCTACGCATAAGAAAAGCTTACTCCCACAAAAATACTACATCATAAATACAGGCAGGCACAGCTACTAGAATTCGAGAATGACAATGTGCCTCCAGCAGAATACCTAATTAAATACTACACACTTGTATTTATATATGTTGGAGCGTGTGAAACATCTTAAATGAGTTAGCCCGTGAGTTGAGCTTGCCGGTTTCTAGGTGGGTCATCTCGACCCACGGGCTGAGCTGGCCGACCTCCAGGTGAATAAACTCTCTACAATGAGAGACGAATTGGCCGGTGGGTCAAGTTAACCAGTGCCACGGAGGTATGCTGTATCCCACTGAGCTTTGCTGGCGTAGGTCCGGATATTATAGGGGTAGAATTTTAACTTCACGTGAGAACGTTTATGGACGTTTTGTGTTTATTTCTGACCCGCCAAACTACTAGTACTTGCCAGCACTGCGGCAACCATAAAATTCAGCATGTGCAACATATATTTCTAGTTAAATAGCTTTTCTGCTTTTACTCCTTCAGGTTTGGCTCAGTGTGCTGAGCTCTGCTGGCAGCTGAAGGGGCAGGCAGGCAAACGACAGGTGAAAGGAGCAAAGTTAGCTCTCCAGCATAATATCGGTCTAGGTGGCGCTGTCGTTGTCACACTCTATCGGCTTGGATTCCCGGAGGCAGCTAGTGGGTAGGTAGCTCCAAGAAACCGTCTTGCTAGGGTTAGAAGACAATCGGTCGCATAACAGTGGGTAGGCATAACAGGCGTGTATTGATCGTCCTGCTTGGAAGATTGATTGCGATCGTCACCGATACTTCTTTGGTGATCAGTCTAGTGAGAGCTTGAACAGGTTATCTGGTTGGTAGGGTCCATTTTGTTATCTCGTATAGGTCGAGTCAGATAGCTATAGCCAACTAGGCAAGCATTCGGCAACTATGTTTATTGTGTACAGACTGTAGTGCAGACCGGTTCATACATTTGACAGGTGTGTATGGTAGAGCTAGATATAGAAGCCTGAATGTCCCTCTAGTGTGCTGCATATGTAGTAAGTTCGGGTCCAAATTAAGTCTACTTTTGTATCCTTGTACATACGTTATGGAGTTAGGATTAGGTCCGGATTATGTATTAGGTTAGGATTAAGATTAAAGCTATGATAATGATGATCATTGTGGTATGGCATATGTACTTTGGTCCCAAAGTAGAATTCGGCAACTAATTTGTCAGTGCATGTGTAACGGAGGTATTCGGGAGCGGCGTGAGTCTACTGGCGAACTGAGGCTAGGCGTAGGTGTAGGAAAGGGAATAACGCAAACCAACAGAGAAAGACAACAACTACGGTCGTAACGTACCACACAGGCGTTTATTCTCAGACATGATAGAGGTCGAACAAGATACAAGCGGTACAATCGAAAGTTAGAGACGAGGGAGAGGAACAATAGTTAGTCGGGATGACAGTCAGGTTCTCTCGAGCTCGGCTTGAGCCTCGGCTTTTAAGCCTGTTAGTAATTGGGATCATAAACCCGCGACTTAGTGACAAGTTTCTCACGGTGCGACTTCAAGCAGGTGTTTCTCCACCATCGCTTCTTCTCCCTTGTCGCACCTAGGTGTCGCGATCGACGTTCGTCGCCACCCCGGGCGGGCTCGGATGTAGCCGCTGTTTATTTGTCATCAACTCTCCTCGCTACACATGTAGCATTTTCCGGCATAAAGGGTTAGCCTAACTAGGGTATAAATTTGGTCGCATAAAGTAGTGAAGCTTTGACTATAAACCATACGTATATCCTGTGGACCGATATGTATTAAATATCCATAATATACATACATGAGCACATAAGTGTGTATTTGTAGAAATGTGTGTAAATGAGTATACCACCAAAATTGCAACCGAGTGATAAGCAACAATTTAAACTGGATCGTTACTATTCGTGTTAGTGTGCTATTGTTCGGCTTGTATCGTAGCATTAAATCACCGAGCATTTGAAATTTCAGGAGTTTGAGAGTGGTGACATCACCAGCTGCAGATATGTCACCAGAGGGCTTCCGAGCAGCGCCCATATTCAATCTTATTCAGGAAGCTCTCATGAAGGCAAGTGTGTTTGATTCTGCGAGTGTGACACTGCCCATGCAGCTACTCCTATAAGCCTATAGATACTAGGGCTGTAACGATCCACCGAAATCGAATCGGATCGCGATTCTCTTCCCTCGATCCGATCCTCGATATTTTTCCCCGTATTTTCAGTTCCACTTCGATACCACTTTTTTCTTCCAATAGATGGCGGCACTACGCTATATATACTGTGGAGTGTTACTCACCAATGTTACTCAGCGGCTGTGCAGTGTATATAATATACTCTCTAGACTCTCTAGTCTATTCACCATTTAGTATTTATTGGCAATTTCTAATAATTTATTATTACAAAATAATGAAAATATAAAAAATAAGATAACATTTCAATATTTTTGGAATCGAATCGAAGGAATCGAATCAAGAGGCTAATATCGAGAACCGGATCGAATCGAGAGGCTTGTGTATCGTTACAGCCCTAATAGATACTGACGTAACACTATGAATAACATGCAAACGTCACAAAAAATGCATGCTTTTGTCGTGGCTCTAAAGTCTAAAGGGTTGCATTCTGGTACTAAAGCAATTGGGTAATTCCTTGCATTTTTGCAGCCTGGAAGCTAAAAGAAACCATTTTTAAGGTTTAATTTAGGTTCGATCTACTCTTTAATTTATCTTTGTTTATTTAAGTTTAAAATAATGTAGCCACATGTGTAATGTTATATAAGTGCAAACTGATGTGATAGAGGGGTGGGGGGAAGGATTCTAACCGAATTCTTGTCATTACTATGATTATTTGTTTTCAGGATGGAGCAAACATCGTGAAAAAAGTGAACGCCGTGTACCTGTTCAAAATTACGGAGGGGCCCAACGGCAGTGAAGGACTTTGGACAGTTGATGTGAAAAATGGTAGTGGATCTGTCAAAATCGGAGGAGATGGAGGTAGGTATAGGATGATAAGACTGTAAGTGTGTGAATGTGCTGGGTTTCATCTGGAACAGATACCTTGTTGCTTGTAGTGGTTCATTGTTGGTCTCGCATTCAATTTTCTTGATAACATTATGAAATGTTATACACTGATAAATGTTAACCCAATTTTATGTACACAAGAAGCATGAATTTTTGACTCGTGCTACCATTATTGCCACATTCAAATTATTTAAAAAGGCTTAATCGGAGGTTATGCTATTACCATCACCGTTGCTGTCAGCACAGAGGTTGCTATTATACAATGGGTCAGTGGGCACATTGGGCACACATCAACACATTTCACTGCCATGCTATGATGCTAGAGCTACTAGAGATGGTTGAAACTTCTTTCTATTCCTACTGGAAACTGTGCTCTTTTAGTTTTACATCTCTAATGACACGGATGGTGGTCACTATCAGCACTGGAGTGTTCCATGTCCTTTTGTGTGGTTATCTGAGTCACTAGGAATTCAGTCTTCAGTGTTGTGAGCTAGGTTCTAATACTTTGAGTAAATTCACTGACCTAGCTGTGGTTTCGACTTACAACATTCTGTCGGAAAGTTGGGTGTGGTAACCACTTCCACTGTACTAACTACCGAACTACCGAAACGTCTCTGTAGCCCAATGATTTTCGTTGTCTTAGTATTTTAACACACGTTCATTGTAGCCAAGCCGAATGTAACACTGACAATTTCCGATTCGGATTTCGTTGAACTTGCCGAGGGAAGGCTCAAGCCACAGGTGGTACGTTGTTCTGCTTAATTATGTTTTATACATTTATGATATATACAGTTATGTAAAGTAATTTAAGCAATAGTAATAGTAGTAAAGGTTTATATTTATGTAATGTTGTCGATTACCTATGATTTGATGCGAAAGAGTTGAAGAGTTGGATTCGTCATCTACCTCTGGTGTACGCAAAACGATGTTTTACACACGTGGTGTGTATTTGTTCTTTTTGCCCAGGCGTTTTTCCAGAAGAAATTGAAACTTGCCGGAAACATGGTGCTGGCCATGAAGTTAAACAGTGTTCTGCCACCTGCGGGAACGGCTGTTTCCGTCACACAGACTCCCGCCAACGAAGGGTTCAAGGCATCATCAATATTTAAGGAAGTGGAAGAAAGGTTACGAAGGGTACGGCAGCATATTTCATTAGTAGAAAATGATGTGATGATCACGAAGTCAAACTCCTATTTATTTGCAATTCTTCTATTTTCTGCTTGTTCTTGTTTACTTACATTTCTATAGCAGTTTCTGTTTATTCCATTTTACGCTGTTGGGTACCTTCTTCTTAAAGGTGCCTTCCCTCGAAATTTCAAGTGGCAAACATAAAAATCAGGCAAAAATGAATTATTTTAACATTGCACATTTGTACTTGCCTATATATGTGTGATAGGTAAGAAAAAAAATGCTCAGGAATACGTTCATTCAAAGCTTTTAGACTACAAAGTGAAAGTTTCAAGTGGAATGTTTCAAACAGCGTTTACTTTTTCCGTTCTGCGGCGATGTTGTGACGCGTTGTTGCCATGCGGTGTTGCCAAGCGCTGAAGGTCATGAAGGCTGCATGTGCTCATAGATATCATATAACACATGTGTTATATGATATCTATGGCTGTGCTGGTTCCGTGACCTGCGTCGACTCTTGCTGTTATGATACAGAACCGTGGCAAAACGCGATTTTCGCGTTGTTTTTAGCTCGGCTGACGAAGTCAGATGCAGCTTGTAGAATCTCATGAGCGTCCGTGCGTCCGTCAACAGTTGGGCACAAATCTTAACCGCTCGACGTACGGTCACGATATTTGGGACGTGGGGGGGGGGCGTTGCGAAAAGGACTCGGGATGTCGAATTTGGGGGGGCAAGGGTCAAAGGTCAAGGTGTGTCAATGGAGGGGGAATATTTCTCCCTTAACAGGAAATACGGAATTGCGGCACAAATCTCAACGGCTTGACCTACGCTCTTAATATTCGATGTATAGTGTGATGGGGAGGAAACCCATCACCAGTGCGAAATTGGTCACCGTTCAAAGGGCAGTGGGGGAAAGGTCAGATATCATAAATTTTCTGAGGACATGGTCTAACGGACCGAGTGAAAAACTTTTTTGTTTCAACGATGACCTACGATTTTTATCACTTGAAGGACCATGAAATGTGCTTTCCGCTGACGTGCGAAAAGTAAGTGTCTGATAACCTTTTGACCCTCAAGAGGAGGTAACACCACCAGATCTGTTGACTGTTAACAAAGGACTGAACTGCTTTTGCTATTAGAGCCCCCTCCACCCGCCCCTCCTTCCCCCACCACTACGCTTGCGCTCGATGCATATCCGTGATAACATGTTAATATAGCAGTCATTAAAGTTACACAGCTGTATCTTTATTACTGTACTACCAGTAGGTATAGCATATCCTATCATAGATTTTAGATCTGTATTAGTAGTATCCTAGATATATGCTCTGAGCACGAATGCAGTGGCGGTAGGGCACACTTGATTCGGTTGCCAGTGAGTTTATCAGAAGTATACCTGGCTACAGTACACGTCAGTTGAGCGCTGTCGCTCTGCGGCACTTGTTTCGTTGAGAGAAGGAGGCTTTATACATATTTTTACAATTTTATTTTCAAAGCTAACGTTCAGTTAAAGTGTAGTGAGTTATTTACTTATGTTTTTACAGTAGTTTGTCACAAAAATGTGCGTGGGAAGGCATCTTAATTGTACAAGATTTAACTGATTATTGTATATATTATGAGTGGCCATATTCTCCAAACGTATGCATTAATAATCATTTGACTATTTGAAATTTTTATCTGACGATTCATTCCTTATTCCAGGATGGTGATAAAATCGTTGGGAAAGTTAAAGGCATCTACTTATTCAAGGTCACAGGGGGACCTGCTGGGAAGGATGCAATGTGGCTGGTAGATGTAAAGAATGGAAAAGGAGCTGTTAAATCCGGTGCAGGTATGTGAGATTAGAGTGATGTTTAACTGCAGTAGATATATCAAACACTAAAATAATTATATTCAACTTTATCAATAAATCATATCAGAATTATTATATGAGTGTATAAGGAATGTATAATATAGATATAATATAATATATCATAATCATATCAATAACTATATCAATAAACTGAAATGTAGCATCATGGTGGTATTGGCTACGCAGGAAAAGCTGATTGCACCATCACAATCAGCGATGAGGATCTGCTAAAGGTGGCATCAGGAAAGCTTAGTGCGCAAACGGTAATTGCAAAACTTTTTAACTAGTTCGTAGGCTCTGCTAGGAGTAGTGTAATCATACCTGCATGTAGTAGCAATGATACTAAGTATCATCTTCAATATACCCTGTCGATCCCTGTTCAGTATTGAATGGTATATATAGGTTTTGGTAGTTATTATACTTAATAAACAGTAAGTGGCAAGCAGTTGGTTTGCACATACAAAATCACTGCGTTTCATTCACAGATCCTTGGTCAATAAAAATTTCAAAGAATAAAAAATCCTAGTAAATAAATTCTGTTATTATTAGTCGACTATCAGAATTTTGTCTGCTATGTGTTACTTATTGATTCCACTATGTTGCCCAATACGGCTTTTATAGGCATTCTTTTCGAAGAAATTAAAGATTGCTGGCAACATTGGACTTGCTATGAAATTAAAGGAAGTTCTACCAACACCTGGACAAGCAAAGTTGTAATAACCGGCCAACACATTTGAGATACTATGGTCAAGACTGTGGTGAGTTAGTAACCAGGTTATAAAAGGAGAAAGATTTATTATGGTAATTCTAATAAGAATACTTCTATTCTCTGCGAAGGTCAAGGAACGTCAGTCTATGAGATGTTTACTCTTTAAAAAATTATTGCACATTCCAATTTAATCGCTGTGCATACACAGGCACTTGCAGCAATTCAGCCTACAGTCATGCCACACACACCGCTGCACATTTACACTTAGATATAGTATATATGTGTGTATATATATATATACATACATATATACATGTGTGTGCGCGTGCGTGTGCGCGTGCGTGTGCGTGTGCGTGCGCGCGTGTGCGTGCGTGTGAAAATGTGCAGCGACGTGCATGTGGCTCCAAGTGCCTGTGTCCGTACTGTAGTTTTATGGTTTATGGTTTACTCTAGTCTTTATTCAGTATTAATTAATATAATTCGGTGCTTGGTCTCTCAACCTCAATGTTATGAATTGTAAGCAATTGTCATGAGTGTTGATTTATGTTAATCATACCAATTTGAAATAAAATCTGTGATATTTATGGTGAACTATTGGTACGTGTGTATAAATGTATGATGTACGTCTTCTTTCTGCTGCGTGTAGTGCTGCTTATTATTTCTGCTGTTCAGGATTCATGCACGTTTCACGTGCCATAATTATCATATACAGTTGTTGCTATTAAACAGTGTAGAGGCATGTGAGGAAGTTGAGATGTTTGGCACAGCTGGCCGGTGTTTCTTACTGCTTTACCGATTATCAGCATATCCTGCGGTAGTCGCCAGTCAGCATAGATAATGTGCGTGCACGTACTATATATACACAGCAGTTGCGCGACTCATGTACTGTCACTGAAGCACGAAGGGTCGTTGTCGTATAGGGTACTACATATATGTACCCGAGGTTACTATCTGATATGGTTAGGGTTAGGGTTAGGGAGTAGGCGTAGGCGTAGGTGACATATATGTACCTCGGGTACCCTATACGACAACGACCCCTTCAGCGCCACTGAACTTGATCGTTGGTCGGCGTCAGTGGGTATCTTAGTCTCTAGAACACCCCCATTTTCTGAGGAAGAACCAAGAGTTTCACTGTAGGCTTGGATATTCAACACAGAATGAGAGGAAAGAGAGGGATAGAGAGACACACACAGCATGAGGGCGACAAAGACAGCGATAGAGAGAGGCGAGAGCGTGAATGAGAAAGAACACTCAAAAGATTGTAAAAACCGGTTTATAAATAAATATTTCATTAGATGGATGTAGGATGTACACCGTGTAACCGTCCGATTTTGCACTCAAATTACCTCGTAGCATGACTTATGCGAAAGAACTTTTTGCTAACAGGTCTGACTGGTTGACAGGTTGACAGATTGAACAACCTTTTGACTGTTAAACTCATTACCGCTTTCCTGCACGCACAGTATATAAGGCTTATGGTGATCAAACGCGAACGCTCTGTGGTTAACGTTCATGAACTGTGAATATGAAGGAAACACCTAGTGAGGTGCGTCTCTCAGGAAGGTGCATCAGTGTATGAAACTGAAGTCATTTACGTGAAACTGTAGCGAGACCCAGTATTCCCAAAACGGACACAGTTATCCACAATCGAGTGGTCCTTAACGCTAACGTTCATGAATGAATTGCATTAAAGTTTCGAGAATATCAAAGTCAATCTCGTGCATTTATTTCATATAATATGTGTAAGAAAAAGTTTAAAAAAAATTAGGTAGGTAGGTAGGTAGGTGGGAGGTGTGGGTGGGTTGGTTAGGTAGATAGGGGGTCAGCCCTATAGACCGAAGGTCCGATAAACCGAATATTGAAAAGGGACCTATAGACCGAAGGTCCGATAGACCGAAGATTTCATAAATCATAGTGAAATACTTTACTTAATTTGTGACAAACACGCACACGCACACGCACACGCACACGCACACGCACACACACACAGACACGCACACACACACACACACACACACACACACACACACACACACACACAGACGCGCACACTCACACACACACGCACACGCACATACAGACACAGACACAGATACCCTTCTCCCTTCTCCCCTTCCTCCTCCACCAGCTTCTCCCTGCTCCCCTTCCTCCTTCTCCACCAGCTTCTCCCCTCCTCCTTCTCCACCAGCTTCTCCCTTCTCCCCCCCTCCTCCACCAGCTCCCTTCTCCCCCTCCTTCCCTTCCTCCTCCCCCCTCCTCCTTCTCCACCAGCTTCTCCCTTCTCCCCCTCCTCCTCCACCAGCTCCCGTCTCCCCCTCCTGCTCCCCTTCCTCCTTCTCAACCAGCTTCACCCTTCTCCCCCTCCTCCTCCACTAGCTCCCTTCTCCCCTTCCTCCTTCTCCACCAGCTTCTCCCCTCCTCCTTCTTCACCAGCTTCTCCCTTCTCCCCCTCCTCCTCCACCAGCTCCCGTCTCCCCCTCCTGCTCCCCTTCCTCCTTCTCAACCAGCTTCACCCTTCTCCCCCTCCTCCTCCACTAGCTCCCTTCTCCCCTTCCTCATTCTCCACCAGCTTCTCCCCTCCTCCTTCTCCACCAGCTTCTCCCTTCTCCCCCTCCTCCTCCACCAGCTCCCTTCTCCCCCTCCTTCTCCCCTTCTTCCTTCTTCCCCAGCTTCTCCCCTCCTCCTTCTCCACCAGCTTCTCCCTTCTCCCCCTCCTCCTCCACCAGCTCTCTTCTCCCCCTCCTGCTCCCCTTCCTCCCTCTCCAC